TTGGACTAGGCTCATCGTTCATTGATTTTTTTTCAAGAGACCTCAGACTTTAACCCAAACCATTTTAGATGATTTAATATCTGATTTTATTATAGATAGCATTCAGCCATTTTCAATTGTTGAAAATCCATCATTTATAAAAATGATCAAAACATTAGCTCCACAAAAAAATATAATTTGCAGACAGACAGTGGTTGCTAGAATTTCCTAAAGATGGGAGAATGAAAAGAAATAAATCATTAAAAGTCTAATAGAACCATCGTTAATATGCACAACAGCAGATTGTTGGAGTGCCTATCGCTGGTAAACATATTTCCCACATTATTAAATTGAAAAATTTTAAACAAATGAACCTGAAATTTTGTTTACCACTCTTAAATGCCTTACTTAAAGGAATTGAAGATAGGTAAATTAATAATAAATTAATCAGTATTTAATAATTTATTGGGACAATTTTTGAAGATGAAAATATTTTGGCAACTATGCTTCATCCTTTTTTTAAACTAGATTGGACATGGTTGCAAATTTTATTAAAAAAAACAATTAATACAAAGATTAGTTGAGGAATTATCAAAGTCTTCAAATGAGTGCAAATTAACCTGTGAAAAAAAATAAATAATTTAATATCCGATTTTTTTCAGTATCCCACAGCAGGAGATATGATTTTTAATGATTTAAATTCTGATAATCAACAAATTTTAAATAGTTTTTCCAAAAATGAATGCCGAGATTTTAGTATTTTTAAACAATATCCTGATATAAAAATGTTATTCATTAAATATAACACCACAATCCCTTCTAGCGCCCCTGTTGAAAGACTTTTTAGTATAGCTAAAAATGTCTTTACAGATAAACGAGGATGTCTTAAACCAAAATTTTGAAAATATTTTATTACTGAAATCTAATAATTATTTATAATCATTTAATCATATATTATATTATTTTATTAATGATATTTAATAATTATTTATATTAATCATATATTATATTAATAAAGTCATTATTTTAGTTATATTTTGATAAATGCGATATCGAGTCAATAAATTTTTTAGATCATTTCATGAATTTTCACAATAGAATCCTAATTTAGGTTTATTCAAACCTAAATTGTATCTGTACCTAGATATATTTTAAATTGTATCTGTCAAGATAACTTTTTAGAAGCTGTATCTGTATCTAGATAAATTTTTAGACTATGTATCTGTATCTAGATCCATTAGTATCTTTTAACAACTCTGATAGTATCAATTGAAGATTTACAATATTCTTCAGAATTAATTACATTCTTGACTGAGTACTCTGCTTCTAATCTTTCCATGGATGTCAACATTCTTAATTTTCTCTTTTTGGGGCATAAAAATGTTACTATTATGTAAAATATCGATTTTGAATTTAGATAATAAAAAAAATTTTAAATTGGTTTTTATTTGTTTTATTTCATTGTTTTGATAAAAAGTATAATTTAAATACTTAAAGCATAACAGTACTTTATATAAAGTAGAAATAATATCTCCTTGCAGTCCTTTAGTAGCTTTATCAAAGGATGTAAAATATCAATCGAATTTTTCATAGTTTTCTCCAAGTTTTCCATTTTATTAATATCACCCTTGAAAATATCATATTGATTATAAATAGATTTCAACACATATAGTTTCAAATTCCATCTTGTTTCAATATTTTGCTGTAATTTTTTGTCTAAAAATGATATGCCACTTTGTTTAAAATACATAGTTAATTTTTTTAGCAGAAATAAGGGTTTGATATATATTGGAGCGATAATTTCAAGGATTGTTCCTTAAAAGTTTCGTAGAACTGTATTTAACAGATATGCGCTGCAATTTAATCTGGTATATATTTATAGGGCTTTAATTATATTAGCTCTTGATCAGATATAAATATTATATTTTTCACGGGAATTATTTTAATTGTGGCAAAATTCTGTATCATTTTCTTATGTATGTTCTCAGCGGTTTTTTCTTTTCTTTAAATTTACTAGTAAATAAAACATGTTTATATAAAGTTTCACCTTCGATATAATAAATAGAAACGGTTAAATAGGAAAACCGTTTAAAGGAATCTGTTCACATATTAGTGGTGGCAGAGCAGTTTTTATCAAACAATTGATCATTTATTTTATTCATTAAATTTGTTTTAATTTGATCTGTCATAACCATTGCATTTCTTGATAAGGTAGTTTGATGGGGAATAATCCCGCTACAGTCCGGTTATCGAGTCAGAAGCACGCATGTCCTTGGCGCAAATGGTATCACATATATTTTTTTAATAGTTATTAAGTATATATCTATAGTTTTCATTTGAATATACTGAGTTTTAGGAATAAAGGAATCGTCATTCTTAACGCACTTGTGACGTATTGAGTGAGAATTACCAGATATACTTATATATTGTAAAATACTTTTACATTTTTTACATTTAACATAGTCAATTTTTTTATTTTTATCATCAAAAACATCTTAAAAATTTTCCTATATTTTGTTTCTACCTTAATGGGGCATACAATTATATGTCGCATTCTTTATGTGATTTCAAAAAAAAAAATATATATAATTTAAATATTGTGTGGGGTAAGGAATAATTTTATCACATAAAATATTTATTATGGGTATCAAATAGAAGCTAATTAAAAAATCTTTGACTAAAAAAATAGTATATTCATTTTTGGTCTTAATGGATTGGAATATATCTGAGAGAGGGGAAGATTAAAAAAAATTAAAATTTGATATGTGTATCAAATAAAAGATAATTAAAATATCTTTGGACTACAATATAATATTTATAAGAGAAATATTAATTATTTTTAATATATAGGTCATCGCCTTAACAGAAATAAAATGATAATTTTTTGGGCTTCAGAATGTTTCGAAAGGCGGAACCGAACATTACCGGAATATTTATCCGAAATGGGAACAGCACAGGAACGCAAAATGACCCTGTTCCAGGTCCCATTCAAAATATATATTTTATATTTGCATTAAATTTAAATATTATTATCTAATTTTATTTTATTTATTGCAAAATATAATATGAAACCACCTCCTAATTTCTTTAAAAACTTACTTATTTTTTTTGATATTCAATCAGGCAAAAAAAGAAGAATATGAAATAAATATAGGATTAATATTTATATTATATTGATGATGTTGTTGCTGGTCTAGACCGAGGGCTGACAGGCATGTCCTGGAGGATTCGATCTCAGAATGTCTTCCATAACTCCTATTTATCCGCTAAAAAAATAAAATTATAATAAAAATAACCAATCTAATTTATATGAATGTTGGTAACCATTATTTTAATTAATCTGATTCAATATTATTATTAAAATATGATAATCATTAATAATATAAAGAGAGTTTTGTTGTTATTAAACACTTCTGCGAGAAAATAATCACGATTTGTAATATCATAAGTCAAGTGGAATTAACATTAATATTATTAAATTTTATTAATTTTTTTAAAAATCAGTCCGTCTCCAAAATTATAAATTTTTAATGTATACACAATATTATAAATAAATAAAAATTCATTGTCTACTTCTATTTGCCATTGCTAATATTTCTTCCTTTAAAAAAAAATAATGTAATAAATAACTATATTTTACCTAATTTTCACCTTTCAGCTTTATTTATTTAAAGCAAACATTAAAAAAAATATTGTAAATGAGGGGATGGAAAAAATTGTTTATTCTGACAAAAATGATAAATTTTATTTTTTGCAATATAAATTTAAAAAAAAAGAGTATAATTTTACCAATTTAAAATTTACATTCCTTTTAATAAGTAATTAAAATTAAGTCTCTTTTTAATGCTTATAAAAATTATTATTACTTCGATCTGTATTTGGGGAATTCGATCTTGGTATAAGAGGAGAAAACATATGAGCTATGCTAAGCTTATTTCACAAGGTAATGAATGTGTTACCGATAATGATTTTTTTTACATTTTCGATTATTTTATAAAACATTATGGTCCAGTCGTGCTTTAAAATGCCATCTTTTTTTTGATTGAAATGCTCAAAAGAATGTTTTTTTCTCAATTGGATAGTATTATAGGTGTGCTGATTACACTTTCGCCCTTATATTAGAAGTAATTCTTGTTATGTTACTATTAAAAAAAGATAAAAGGGAAGTTAAGGCATCTTAGTTGTATATAAACTATATATTTTTTAATCATTTTTTAAAATAACTACCAAACGCTTAATTTCTAATGCCAAAACACGAGAGCGCTTAGGTACAGCCTTAGAGTGCACACAAATTGAACCTTTCAACGCAGCGTTTCAAAACGCAAATTATACATTTCAATTACATTCGTTTAAATTGGAAATATTTCCGTTTTGCATTTTAAATTATCTATTAAAAAACAAAATATCTTGCATTTTATGAAACGTTTTTAAATTTAAAGTGATAGCATGGTTACAACATTTTCTAAAATGTAAAATAATTATATTAAATGATACACAAAAAGATTTGCTAATTAAATATAGGCATGCCTTTTTTTTGTTTAGAATTTAGACGTTTCATATTGAAAAAGTAAAAGTTAACGCTTCAATATAAACATATTTATTTGAGTTTTGCGTTGAAACGTTCAATTTGTGCCCACTATTACGCTGCATTTACAGTAAACGCGTTATCTTTAAGCGTTGCCCTATTTAACGTAACGTTATTACAACTGATTGAGTTTTAATAATAAGATAAATCTAAAATAGAGATAAATATTTTATATAACATTTTAGAAAAAGCATATAACTTTTCATCAAATTCGTTATTATTTTTATAATCGTATCGCATATTTTTTAGCAACGCAAGCAACATATGTTTTTCAAATTTTATCCTAGAGTTATCATCATAACGCCATATTTATAATATACCTACTTATTGGTTTATTCTTGTAATAATGCTGCGTTAAGTAATGTAACGTTAGAACAAACGGCGTTACTATAAATGCGGTCTTCCTTATTTTTTTGTAATTTACATTTATTCATAGATTTATCTGGGAGAGTGGTAGTATTAACTGGAGCTGCAAATGGAATAGGAAAGCATTTAGCTTTACAATTCGCTAAAAAGAATGCGACCTTAATTATAACCGATAAGAACCAAATACAATTAATCAAAGTATTTATCAATTATTTAAAATTTATTTTTATACGCAAAAATAAATAAAACTCTTTTAAAAAATTTAGAAATGAAATGTGTAAAATTCTAATTTATTTTCATATAATAAAAATATTAATAGATAGTTAAATTTATATACTTTACAGTTAAGAATATTAAGAGTATATATCCGAATCATAATTTATTTTATTTGCAAAACAAAATCGATTTTGATCGATTTTATAAAATCTTTTAATGAGATCCATATTTCTTTTCCCATCGCTAGTGTTGTTAAACGGCTCACTTATTATTTTATTCAAAAATATATTAAGCAAGCCTGAAGATTTTGGCCATAGATGCCATAAAGGTTTGTACATTGAAATCTCGAGGTTTGGGCAATATGCCGTTTTAAAAATTAGCTCAAATCGAGCCGTTTTACAACACTACCCATCACTGACTAATAGCGCTTTATTTGCACTACCTTAATTATATCATTTTTTTAAACATTGTATCTATTTTAAAATATAATAAAATGTCTCTTATATAGTTACAATAAGTCTGCAATGGGCAGGTAAAAAGAAATTAAACATTGGGCGAGTGAAGGGGTGGTTAAAAAATATTATTAAACAATGGGCGGGTGATGAGGGGAGGTAGCGAATTCGAAATATTTTTCTGGCTAAATGAGTAGAACAGACTTATATTTTATTTAAAATCATTTTTTTATGTCATAATATTACATATTTTATAAGTTTAAGAAAAAAAATACATTAAAATACAAAAAATAAAGAGGCCAACCAACTAATGAAATAATTTTTAAACATTGGGGGGGGGGGGGTTAAACAAAATTTTTAGATAAATGGATGGGCGTGGAAATTTTTTTAAAAATAATGGGCGGGTGAGCGGGTAATAATGGGAGGGCATTTGGGTTAAGACCTGCTCATTGCTGACCTCTAGTTTAGGCTACGTTGATATTAGAAAGAAAATATTCCCCTGAGAATCAATATTATTTTTCTAATTGAAATCATCAGAATAAAATTTTGAGATGGCAGAAAAAATCCATATTGTCAAAACAAAGCAAGATTAGCAAGATATCTCAAAATAAAATTATTACATATTATATTTAAAAAAACAAAAGAAAAGAGAAAGAAGGGCATAATAAATAAATATAATTGAATTGAGATACCTTGCCAGTTTATTTTATTTTATAATTATATTATTACCATTATTATATTTATTTGGAGGTGGGGAGGGGGCAATGAGGTGAGCAATTACCCATATCCAGCTCTCAGACGTTACCAGGATTTTGTTAGGGGGGGGGGTATTAGGTAAGTTTTTCGCTAGTAAATTATATTGGAGGTCTTTAGGTCTACTTATTGTAGGCCTTTGGCTATGTTAGGTTTTTATAAAAATAATATTGGGTTTTCACTTTTTTGTTTATATATAAAAATGCTTTTTTTATAGAAATTTGGATTCCAGTTGATATTTTTGCAAATTATTCTTTAAATTCTTGTTTATGGTGATATATTGTATATATTTTTGGAAGAAAGTGGCGTGGGGGTGTAAAAGGAAATTTTTTATTAGTTTAAAATGATATTTACAAAACGCAAAACGATTCACCCCCTTCCCCCCCCCCCCACCCCTTATTAAACCTATCATTCAGCTGGATAACCTAATTTTTATTATTAATTATAAGAATAGGAATAAAAATTTCAAATTTTATAACATTTTTTGAATCTTATTATATCATTTTTATAAATTTTTTTATACCCTTCATGGTTTACGGTGTTCACTAAATTTTCCTCAAGCTTTATTTCAAATAGAAAAATAGGTAAGAGACCATTTAAATTTTCAAATTTATGAACAATATTAAAATTATCCCTGTATTTTCCGTTAAAAAATGAATAGAAAAGTGCTTCCCTAAAGAATTAAATTATCATTCTTAAAATTTTCTGGCCCAATATATGATGATTTATCTATTTAAGGTTAATACTAAAATCTATTTTATAACACCAAATAGGTTAAAAATTTATGCGAAAAAGAAGGTTGCAAAGTTTTAATCATGGATGTTACGTATCAAGGATCCCCGGAAAAGGCTAAAAATTTTATTAAAGTATAGTATTTTTTAAATTATTAAAGAATTTATGCATAATACTAAGATTGCCATCTCTATAGCTCTTATCATTTCAGCGTTCTAAAAAGTCCAATTCCTATTATTTACGTCTGGTAATAGAAATAAAGTATGCTGAGCACTCTTTAGCTTCTTACCAGCCAAGCTTATCGTTATACATACATATGTTTTCTTAATAAGCATGTATACAAATTGAAAGGTTTAAACGTCAAAGCAACGGGTGGTTGATATTAATATTTAGAAATTTGAACTTACACTAAAAATCCATTCTTTATTTATAAGATAATTGAATCCAAAATTCAAAAAATTGATTACTTGATTCTCAATCACGCTGAATTTCAGGAATTTTCATTATGGGAAGATTTAAAAAATTTTGAACTCGTTACCAAACTATTCAACTCTAACTTTTTCTCTTACATATATTTGATAACCTATGCCATGCCAATGTTAGAAGTTTCAAATGGAAGAATAATCATCATGTCATCTTTAGTAGGTTTCATAATATGCATATAGTAATATATTAAAATTGTATATTTAGGAAAAGTTCCTCACCCCTATTTATCCTTATATGGGGCCACGAAGTTTGCTCTGGATGGTTTTTTTGGTTCACTAAAACGAGAATTGATTCTTGCGAATAAAAATGTAAATGTTACCTTTATATACCTAGGATCAATAAGTAAGCTATTATTGATTTTAATTTTCTAAAACAAATAAAACCTTATTTAAGGTGCGAATACTGTATCATTGAAAATTTATATAAAGGAGAAGGTGGGCAGAGCAGAGAAAAGGGAAGAGGATAATATCAATGATATAAAATGGATAATTCAAAAAGTAGATAAGGCGAAAATAGTTTTAGCGAACATAACAAAAATTAGGAGCCTTCGTTTTAAAAGAGTCATTTCTAAGGTTTATCGTTCTTCTTAGGGCCTTACTTACAAAATATTAAAATAGAATAAGAGATAGAAATGAATGAGCAGGAATTATGACTGGGTAAAGTGATTGATATGATATATACAATATTATTATAAATAGTATTAATATTTTTAGATACAAAACAAGCCTTAGCAAACATCGAAACCTTTAGGAATGGTAAACTCAAAAGACTGATTAGTTTTACAGATGTGGGGAAAGCTTGTAGTGAAATCATACATGCCATACATATGGGATACGATGAACTCTACTTACCATATTGGACAGTGTTATTAACTATATATTTTAACAGATGGTTCCCTTGGCTAGAAAGATATATTACGAATAAAATATTTTCTATGTAATAAATGGTAATAAAATAAGGTATCAAAGATTACATCGACGATTATCAAGCTGGTTTTAGGGTCAGAGGGAATGGGGTGTTAAACAGATGCCTATACTATTCGGATTTATAGTGAAAAATTTTCACTAAATTTATTATAATGCAAAATTGACTTTAAAATATACTAATGCATTATTATATTGAAGCCATGCCTTCTCTTCGAAATTCTTTGAAAGATTTTCGGTTTATTTCAATTATACAAATTCTTGTCATGGTCGAAGTTCTTTTAGTATATTTGGAGATAATTGAATGAGGAGGAGGGTATTTAATAAGGTGATTCTTTCATCCCCCATCTCTTTCCTAAGTATTCTTAATATCGTTTCTAATATCAAGTTTAAATTTAATTTAGAATCTGAATTTCTGGTTCAGGTGCAAATATGTTGGTAGCGATCAATTTCATAGGGAAAAACTATAGGTCTTGCAGTGGAGCGCTTGCAAAAGGGGATGCTAATTTATTATTGAAAAATTTTCGAAATTTTTTTAATTCTATTTGTACCCTCTTGTGGCTGGCCTTTGCCTCCCATTCTGCAGGGTTAGGTCTAAGAATTTAGATCTTCGACTATAGTTATTTATAATATACATATATTTCGGTAATCAAATTAAAAGAATATCTAACTCGAATGATTTGCCATTATAACCAATGAAAAATTATTAAATACTTAATCTAAAAACCTCATTCTTTCGATTTTCTTAACGAGAATTTATAAAAATATTTTATACCATGATTTTGCATTTTACTGAATTAAAAGATAAGTGATTCAAAAAAGAACATTATTATATGGAAAAATCAATGCAGAAATGAGTTATACGACCTTAACGTATTCTATGTTTAGGTTTTGTTTTATGATGATGTGTAAGATAATATGATAATATATACAATAACAATGATAACTTATTATAAATAGATTATATAACATTTTTTCCATATAAAATATATTGATTTTAAAAATTATAATATTAAAATGAGCTAATGCCACAAGAAAATAATATTTATTTAAACATGGCCTAAAAAATTGGAGGCAAATTTTTAAAAAATAGGATGCTAATCCATTTAATTTTGAAAAAGGTAACGATGCCACTGAGGCACTATAGTAAATAAGGATAAAACTGAGAAATGCTTTTTAAGTAAATCTCTTACTGATAATTGTAACAGCCTCAAAGTTATTGATCGGGTGTCAATCTCCTTATTTGGGTCTCCATTAAATAGTTTTAATCCGATAGTAACTTAATAACTAGCGTAAATAAAACAACTTTTTTGCTTAGTCATACTGTAAAATTTTCCACCCGTAAATCTTGGTATTTGATAAGGAAATTAGAATGGCTTTCAAAAATTTTGAGGCATCTTCTTTATTATTTCGCTTCCCTTTTCTTCCTAGATTTAAAAAAAAAACTTCCTAGAAGTTATTCTTAGCATCAACTTCTCTTAGTTTAATTGGGCAATAGTCACAATTCTGAACGCAAAAGTGGGCTTAAATTTATTCCTCTCAATTTGGTAATTTGTTAGCCTCCCTTTCATCCCATCAATGCAAGTAGATTATTAGTAACTTGTGAAGGGAAGAGATAGTCTTTTTGAAACTGGTTGTGATGGAAAAAATATATATCTCTTTGATAGTTCACAGAATAAAGATACTTTCTCAACCTTCTTCTGGTTAATTTTAAGTGGTGGGTTATAATCCTTTCATTGAAAAAACAGCCTTTATCATATATTTGACAAACCTGAGCAATGAACAGCTAGAGGAAGTTCAAGGTGCCATTCTTGTTTTATTGCTATCAATTAATGAGTTGGGGGTAATTTAAGATTTCACATGTATTTCCCAGATTTTCCCTAAACATCATTACCCCAATTATAACAGTTGAAAAGTCTAAAATTACAAAGTATCACTACCCATCAGATTTTTATCATCACAATAGCTATTTATACCAATGAATCCTTTAGACTCCCTAGGGTAAACTTTTTTCAGATTTTAGACAAAAAATTTTAAATTTATGGGGATCGTGGATCAAATTTTAAAAGTTTACATTCAGTTTAAATAACTGTGTTCCGAGGCAACAATCTGAGTTTACTCAAAATTCAATGACGGCCTTCTTATTCTATCTTTTTTTAAAACATATTTATATGTATTTTTTTATATATGTTTTTATATTGATATCGTTTTTATAGTTGTTTATTTATAATTTATTTGTTATTTTTTAAAATAAATAAATTTGACCTCAAATAAAACAAAATGTATTGGCAATTATCATAAAATTATATTTATATACATTCAAGTTAACTGCAGTGATTTCTAATATAAAGGAGGGAGGGGTATGCCTCAAAATCATTAAAATTTAATGAGAATATTGAGTAAGTAAAATGTAGTTTTGAAAACCCTATCCAGATTAAATAAATTGAGTTGGGATTAAATTTTATGGGGAAGGGAATTTGGATAACCTTATTGGATATACTTCCTTATGTTACTCCCATTCAAATTAATCACTCAATTATCTGACCTATGAAATTTAACAATTTTATATAAATTTATTAACATATACAACTTCGTCAATCTCTTATAGAAAAGTTGAGTATACTATAATAAAATTGGTAAAAATAAAATTATGATATTTAACGGGAGGATCTTTTTATCTATGGACTACACCTTGCTATCAGGCGCGTACGCAGCGGGGGGGGCAGAAAGACAAATCCCCCCCCCCCCCCCCCCAAAAAGCCAAAAAATGCAGATGCCGGATTATATTTTTCAAAAATATTATTGCTAATATTAATTTATATTTGTTAATATTTATTCTTATCTCATATATACATATATATATATATATATATATTTTATTTATCACATTCATCTACTAAGTTATTTTATCAATCAATTTCGATTTCAAGTTTTCCTTGGCGTAATTTACCTATTATTTTCAAATTTTAGTGGCGTAATATTTATCTAAATTTCTAATAAAATAATCTGAAACTCCTTGTCCAACAGGGAGAAAAAAATTGCAAGCTTGTCCAACGAGATCGAGTCTCCGCCACAGTAACAGCTATTTTGGAGTTAGAAGAGCTGATTATTAATGCTATTACTGAAATATCACAATGGCTTGAAAGAAATATTTCCTCAGAAGCAAGAAAATTATTAAATTCAATACTTATTCCAAATTTTTTTTCTCATTAGAATGTATTATTTAATTATACAACTATTTTATGTAATACTTTTAAAAACATAACATTGACTTGATTAAGAAGATGAGAATAGCGGAGAGCATTTTATTAGAACTCAAGGAAATAGAGCTAGTGTTGTTGAAGAATTTTATATTTTATATGTTATTGTTGAGTCAAAAGCAGAGCTATACGTGTTAAATATTTGTCCCCCTCGACTTGCAGCAAGCAAGCTCATCATCAAAATATTAATATAGGATCAGTAGAAGAGTATTATAAAACAAATGTCCCCTCTCCCAACATTTTTCATATGGTGATAGAAAAAAAATATAAATATTTGTTATATTTTTATCATGAAGATGTTAAAATATCTTATGATGCCTTATTAGCTGAATAACTATGATTAAAAGATTAACTATGGTTGATACAGTCCCAAAAAATGCTATGGATGCTTTTTATTTCAAACACATTTTAGATTATACTCACAATTATTAAAATGGTTATATATATATTAGCAGCTCTTTAGTAAACTAATGAGAGAACATTCACTTTTTTAAGAAGAATAACAGAGCCTTGCAAAGGTACCATTTGCAGGACCAGGCCCAGATTTTATTTTAAAATTTTTTCCGGCCCGGGTTTTTTTTAAAAAAATTTTCAGGCCCGGCCAGGGTGTTTTTTAAAAAAAAAATTACGAGCCCGGCCCGGGTAAAAAATTAAAATACGGTCCGGCTCAGGGGCCGGGCCTGCAAGTCTGTGAAAAACATACCTCTGAAATACAACATCTGAAAGTAGATTGAATGATTTGGATCTTTTGAATATTCATAGACATTTAACGCCAAGCAAGGATTGATAATTGAAAAATTAGCTCAAAACATACAAAATACAATTATTCCTAAGAAACTTTTTGTGTATTAATTTATATTTACAACATTTAAATTTTTTATACTTTATATATTTTAAAAGCTCAAAAAATTCAAATTTCAATTTTGGGTCATTTAGGTGATTCATATCGTGGGTTATATTCACTTTATATTTTATGATTCACATTTAAATGCCGGTTTATATATATAATTTTTTTAATTCACATTAGTTTAAAATTGTGTATTAGAAAAGTTATTAATCCTAATAAATTTATGCTTAGTATTTTTAATTAAAAATATTATTTCTTAAAAAAATTTATTATCCCCCCCCCCCCCCCCCCCAGACCAAATTCCTGCGTACGCGCCTGCTTGCTATATATAATATATATATATATATATGGTTTTTAAAATGATTCCCCTTGGGGGCTCAACTAAAAAAATTTATGGGGAGCTTCGTCCCCCATACCTCCCCCCCCCCAATTTGCGGGCATTTGGCCGGGTTTTATATTGATATATTGTATTTTATAAAATTTGTTAACTCTGAACAATTATTCTGAATTTCGTATTTTGTATATTATGCATACAAAATAAACTGGCATATAAATAATTAAAACAATACAAGACATTTCTAAAAATAATATTTTTTAATAAAAAATCTATTTATTACAGTATAAAATATTTTCGATGGTTGATATAAAAAAATTTTGCGTCTAAAGAATTACAAGTGATAAAAAAGATTAATTAATTCATACATATGCCTCAATTGATATGGTCTTTAAAAACCACATAAGGCTATATAATTCTTAGCAACTTACATTGATAAAAGATCATGAAAGTAATATAACTTTCTGTTACCATTTTAGACAATGTTTTATAGAATGGACTAATAAGAAAAAATTTATAGGCCTTACCAAATTATCAATTCTTGAAGAAGAGAGTATAAACGACAAATCCAAATCATAAAACTATATGGTAGTTAGAGCTTCCACTTAGATGACATGATGGAAGCTAGATAAGTAATCTAGAAAATTATTGTGAGATAATAAATTTCTAAAAGATTATCTTCCATTT